TCTTCTTGATCGATTTCCTTAACACCATCAATTCTAAAATTGTTTCTTCTTAAACGGTTTCCTTGATACCATCAATTCTAAAATTGTTTCTTCTTAAACGGTTTCCTTGATACCATTAATTCAAAATTATTTCTTCTTGAAAAGTTTCCTTCATACCATCAATTCAAAATTGTTTCTTCTTGAACGGTTTCCATGACACCATCAATTCTAAGATTGTTTCTTCTTGAATGGTTTCCTTGACACCATCAATTCTAAGATTGTTTCTTCTTAAACAGTTTCCTTGACACCAACAATTCTAAGATTGTTTCTTCTTAAACGGTTTCCTTGACACCATCAATTTTAAGATTGTTTCTTCTTGATCGATTTCCTTAACACCATTAATTCTAAGATTGTTTCTTCTTAAACGGTTTCCTTGATACCATCAATTCTAAAATTGTTTCTTCTTAAACGGTTTCCTTGACACCATCAATTCTAAAACTGTTTCTTCTTGAAAGGTTTCCTTGATACCATCAATTCAAAATTGTTTCTTCTTGAACGGTTTCCATGACACCATCAATTCTAAAATTGTTTCTTCTTGAATGGTTTCCTTGACACCATCAATTCTAAGATTGTTTCTTCTTAAACAGTTTCCTTGACACCAACAATTCTAAGATTGTTTCTTCTTAAACGGTTTCCTTGACACCATCAATTCTAAGATTGTTTCTTCTTGATCGATTTCCTTAACACCATCAATTCTAAGATTGTTTCTTCTTAAACGGTTTCCTTGATACCATCAATTCTAAAATTGTTTCTTCTTAAACGGTTTCCTTGACACCATCAATTCTAAAATTGTTTCTTCTTGAACGGTTTCCTTGATACCATTAATTCAAAATTATTTCTTCTTGAAAAGTTTCCTTGATACCATCAATTCAAAATTGTTTCTTCTTGAACGGTTTCCATGACACCATCAATTCTAAGATTGTTTCTTCTTGAATGGTTTCCTTGACACCATCAATTCTAAGATTGTTTCTTCTTAAACAGTTTCCTTGACACCAACAATTCTAAGATTGTTTCTTCTTAAACGGTTTCCTTGACACCATCAATTCTAAGATTGTTTCTTCTTGATCGATTTCCTTAACACCATTAATTCTAAGATTGTTTCTTCTTAAACGGTTTCCTTGATACCATCAATTCTAAAATTGTTTCTTCTTAAACGGTTTCCTTGACACCATCAATTCTAAAATTGTTTCTTCCTGAACGGTTTCCTTGATACCATTAATTCAAAATTGTTTCTTCTTGAAAGGTTTCCTTGATACCATCAATTCAAAATTGTTTCTTTTTGAACGGTTTCCATGACACCATCAATTCTAAGATTGTTTCTTCTTGAATGGTTTCCTTGACACCATCAATTCTAAGATTGTTTCTTCTTAAACAGTTTCCTTGACACCAACAATTCTAAGATTGTTTCTTCTTAAACGGTTTCCTTGACACCATCAATTCTAAGATTGTTTCTTCTTGATCGATTTCCTTAACACCATCAATTCTAAGATTGTTTCTTCTTAAACGGTTTCCTTGACACCATCAATTCTAAGATTGTTTCTTCTTGATCGATTTCCTTAACACCATCAATTCTAAAATTGTTTCTTCTTAAACGGTTTCCTTGATACCATCAATTCTAAAATTGTTTCTTCTTAAACGGTTTCCTTGATACCATTAATTCAAAATTATTTCTTCTTGAAAAGTTTCCTTGATACCATCAATTCAAAATTGTTTCTTCTTGAACGGTTTCCACGACACCATCAATTCTAAGATTGTTTCTTCTTGAATGGTTTCCTTGACACCATCAATTCTAAGATTGTTTCTTCTTAAACAGTTTCCTTGACACCAACAATTCTAAGATTGTTTCTTCTCAAACGGTTTCCTTGACACCATCAATTCTAAGATTGTTTCTTCTTGATCGATTTTCTTAACACCATTAATTCTAAGATTGTTTCTTCTTAAACGATTTCCTTGATACCATCAATTCTAAAATTGTTTCTTCTTAAACGGTTTCCTTGACACCATCAATTCTAAAATTGTTTCTTCCTGAACGGTTTCCTTGATACCATTAATTCAAAATTGTTTCTTCTTGAAAGGTTTCCTTGATACCATCAATTCAAAATTGTTTCTTCTTGAACGGTTTCCATGACACCATCAATTCTAAGATTGTTTCTTCTTGAATGGTTTCCTTGACACCATCAATTCTAAGATTGTTTCTTCTTAAACAGTTTCCTTGACACCAACAATTCTAAGATTGTTTCTTCTTAAACGGTTTCCTTGACACCATCAATTCTAAGATTGTTTCTTCTTGATCGATTTCCTTAACACCATCAATTCTAAGATTGTTTCTTCTTAAACGGTTTCCTTGATACCATCAATTCTAAAATTGTTTCTTCTTAAACGGTTTCCTTGACACCATCAATTCTAAAATTGTTTCTTCTTGAACGGTTTCCTTGATACCATTAATTCAAAATTAGTTCTTCTTAAAAAGTTTCCTTGATACCATCAATTCAAAATTGTTTCTTCTTGAACGGTTTCCATGACACCATCAATTCTAAGATTGTTTCTTCTTGAATGGTTTCCTTGACACCATCAATTCTAAGATTGTTTCTTCTTAAACAGTTTCCTTGACACCAACAATTCTAAGATTGTTTCTTCTTAAACGGTTTCCTTGACACCATCAATTCTAAGATTGTTTCTTCTTGATCGATTTCCTTAACACCATTAATTCTAAGATTGTTTCTTCTTAAACGGTTTTCTTGATACCATCAATTCTAAAATTGTTTTTTCTTAAACGGTTTCCTTGACACCATCAATTCTAAAATTGTTTCTTCCTGAACGGTTTCCTTGATACCATTAATTCAAAATTGTTTCTTCTTGAAAGGTTTCCTTGATACCATCAATTCAAAATTGTTTCTTCTTGTACGGTTTCGATGACACCATCAATTCTAAGATTGTTTCTTCTTGAATGGTTTCCTTGACACCATCAATTCTAAGATTGTTTCTTCTAAAACAGTTTCCTTGACACCAACAATTCTAAGATTGTTTCTTCTTAAACGGTTTCTATGACACCATCAATTCTAAGATTGTTTCTTCTTGATCGATTTCCTTAACACCATCAATTCTAAGATTGTTTCTTCTTAAACGGTTTCCTTGACACCATCAATTCTAAGATTGTTTCTTCTTGATCGATTTCCTTAACACCATCAATTCTAAGATTGTTTCTTCTTAAACGGTTTCCTTGATACCATCATTTCTAAAATTGTTTCTTCTTAAACGGTTTCCTTGACACCATCAATTCTAAAATTGTTTCTTCTTGAACGGTTTCCTTGATACCATTAATTCAAAATTATTTCTTCTTGAAAAGTTTCCTTGATACCATCAATTCAAAATTGTTTCTTCTTGAACGGTTTCCATGACACCATCAATTCTAAGATTGTTTCTTCTTGAATGGTTTCCTTGACACCATCAATTCTAAGATTTTTTCTTCTTAAACAGTTTCCTTGACACCAACAATTCTAAGATTGTTTCTTCTTAAACGGTTTCCTTGACACCATCAATTCTAAGATTGTTTCTTCTTGATCGATTTCCTTAACACCATTAATTCTAAGATTGTTTCTTCTTAAACGGTTTCCTTGATACCATCAATTCTAAAATTGTTTCTTCTTAAACGGTTTCCTTGACACCATCAATTCTAAAATTGTTTCTTCCTGAACGGTTTCCTTGATACCATTAATTCAAAATTGTTTCTTCTTGAAAGGTTTCCTTGATACCATCAATTCAAAATTGTTTCTTCTTGAACGGTTTCCATGACACCATCAATTCTAAGATTGTTTCTTCTTGAATGGTTTTCTTGACACCATCAATTCTAAGATTGTTTCTTCTTAAACAGTTTCCTTGACACCAACAATTCTAAGATTGTTTCTTCTTAAACGGTTTCCTTGACACCATCAATTCTAAGATTGTTTCTTCTTGATCGATTTCCTTAACACCATCAATTCTAAGATTGTTTCTTCTTAAACGGTTTCCTTGACACCATCAATTCTAAGATTGTTTCTTCTTGATCGATTTCCTTAACACCATCAATTCTAAGATTGTTTCTTCTTAAACGGTTTCCTTGATACCATCAATTCTAAAATTGTTTCTTCTTAAACGGTTTCCTTGACACCATCAATTCTAAAATTGTTTCTTCTTGAACGGTTACCTTGATACCATTAATTCAAAATTGTTTCTTCTTGAAAGGTTTCCTTGATACCATCAATTCAAAATTTTTTTTTCTTGAACGGTTTCCATGACACCATCAATTCTAAGATTGTTTCTTCTTGAATGGTTTCCTTGACACCATCAATTCTAAGATTGTTTCTTCTTAAACAGTTTCCTTGACACCAACAATTCTAAGATTGTTTCTTCTTAAACGGTTTCCTTGACACCATCAATTCTAAGATTGTTTCTTCTTGATCGATTTCCTTAACATTATCAATTCTAAGATTGTTTCTTCTTAAACGGTTTCCTTGATACCATCAATTCTAAAATTGTTTCTTCTTGAACGGTTTCCTTGACACCATCAATTCTAAGATTGTTTCTTCTTGAACGGTTTCCTTGACACCATAAATTATATGATTGTTTCTTCTTGAATGGTTTCCTTGACACCACCAATTCTAAGATGTTTCTTCTTATACTGATAATTATACATTATAATATTAATTAAACATAATGCTAAATATACATGTTACAAGATTAACAGTATGTGTTGCTATGCGTTAATCATGTATCAATGATAGTTGATTACCATGTTAATTGTAACTTTAAGCGATAAATCTTCTTAAAGTTAATAATCGATTTTAGTCGGAGAAATTATCTACACCTTACCTCGTCTCCTTGCGTCTCAGGAGGAAGTCCATCGTTACTCACCCTACCTCGTCTCCTTGCATCTCAGGAGGAAGTGAGGTAAGACAACTAAGTACAATAAAAAGAAAAATAAATAAAATACTTTTTTTATTAATTTAAGGTATTTATATTACACTACTATTTATAAAGCAACAAAAACATATAAATAATAGAAAATAAATTTTTTAAAGTTAAAAAGTTAATCGGTGTTAAAAGAAATTAATTGAGGTAAATTTTTTTATCTTCAGAAGATTTGCATAACTTTTTTTTCCCGGATCTCTCTCTTATCATGTCAATAAAACGTTTTATAAGTTTTGTAAACGAATCTTGACGAGTTTCTCGTGTTAACTCTCTTTCTTTTCGATGAATTCTCATAAGAATTTCTAAGATATAATTATATATATATATATATATATATATATATATATATATATATATATATATATATATATATATATATATATATATATATATATAGATAAACAATAAATTTAAAATAGTATAATAAAACAAATAAATTTTTTATTTTAGAGATCTTTATTACAACATTTCTAAAGAAAAAAAATAAATAAATAAAATTACTTTTTTTTATTGAGCCTATGTGTTTATAATCGAGATAATTTTTTTCGACCCTTGTTCTGTTAACCGTAACTTCTATTTTTAATTCGGTTGCCCGCAGTGTATGGATTTCTGATAACTTGTTTGATTCAAGAGATCGGTCAAAATAAAATCTGTTAAAAAAAAATAAAAATGCATTTACTCTTTGCATCACCTCTAAAATAAGAAAGTCGTAATAAAATCATTTTCTTATTTCAAATTCTGAAACTCAACGATTGCTAAAAGATTGCATAGTTTCTCCATTAATTATTCTCCATTATCTCCATTAATAATTCTCTATTAATTATTCTCCATTATGAGCCTCTGGGTAAAAAATGATACCTACATGTATAACAAATTAGTGAAAATATGCTAAACGATTGCCCCTTGTGCCTTGAAGTTGGAAATTTTCTTAAATTCAATAGTTTTATCTCTGATTTAAAGCCCATACTTTCATACAACATTCAATCAATTTCACTACTAAAAATGATTTATATATTGATTTATATATTAGCCTGTGATTTTACATTCTAAAAAAATATCAAGCTAAATCTAAGTATTAATTCTTTGGAAGTATTGAATCTAAAACAATACAACACAAATATGCTCAAAAATACCTTGCAAAATCAGCTGATTTGCTTTCATACTCATATACTTGGATCAAATACTCATTTGTAGTTTGACAACTGTCCGTTCCATTTAATTCTTCTAGTGCAAGAGCAAGTGCTTTGTCTTTTGATGTTCCTAAGACATTTTTTATGAAAAAAAAAATACAAAAACTAAGTTTAGTAAGCTATAAAAAGTATAAAAAGTTTAAATATTAAAAAAAAAAAAATTGTGTAGAAAAGCTGCGTAACGGTGTGGTGCAGAAAATTTGTGCTGCAGTGTGGTGGTGTGGTGCAAAAAAATATTATGTTAAGGTATGATGCAGAAAACTGTGATGTGGCATGGCGCAGAAAAAACTTTAGTGTGATATGACATGGTGCAGAAAAACTATGGTGTGATGTGACAAGGTGCAGAAAAACTGTTGTGGGAAGTGATATGATTTAGAAAAACCTTGGTGTGATAAAACGTGGCACAGAAAAAATGTAGTGTGATGTGGCGTGGTGCAGAAAAGCTACAATGTGATGCATAAAATTTTGGTCCAAAGAAAAATAAAAAATACTTATATATAAAATTCTGACCAAAAGGATAAATACATATTATAAAAAATGAAAAAGGATAAATATACATTACAAAATATAAAAAGGATAAAGACATATTACAAAAAAAGAAAATGATAAATACATATTACAAAAAATAAAAAGAATAAATACATATACTTAGAAAAAATAATAATAAAAAGGACGAAATCAAATTTATAAATCCTACTTAAGAATAATTTCATTAACAAAATATATTTAATATATTTCCCTAAAAATAGCCGATCATTGATCGTTGATCGGCTGTTATTTCGAGCACTGATATTATATATAACATATAATACAGTTAAGAAATATTTCAATTATAAAACTATAAAAAAAACATCTATAAAACAGACAAATACATTTCATATTATTTTGATTTGACACTAGAAAAGTTCCAAACATTTTATAAGCTCCATAATTATTATTAAGACATTTTATTAAATTTTTTTTCTATAGTCTCATCTAAAATAGCCAATCATTCCCCCATCACCCCTATCAATGAATTTTTCGTTAATTTAGTTGGCAATTTTGACCCTTTTAGACAAGTCAGCCGCCAAATGTAGACCCTTTAGACAAGTTAGCTGGCAAATTTAGACAATCAGCCAGCAAATGTAACCAGTCAGTTGGCAAATTTTAAAAATTGAGGACCTTCATATTTAGTCTGAGCAATACCTACTAGCGCCAAACCTGAGTGTGTCCAGAACTTTTGCCTTAGCCTCACCACACCAATTTAACACTAAGGGGGTCCAAAATTAACTGTTTTTGGATTTTGTGTAGTTTAACCACTTTATCTAAAATAAATTTTTTATGCTGATTTCGAATTACTTAGTACTTATTTTTCATTATAAATATTTGGCCTTCTACTTCAATTTTAATTAAAATGGTTATGCTAACAAAACAATCAATTGTTAAATTAAATGAAACCGTAATTACCATCGAAGTAGAATTCGTGGTAAATATTTTTTTTTCTTCGTTTTATCAATGAAATACGCAATCATTATGTGTAGTTAAAAATACAACAAAATATTAGGCATTATACATGAAATTACTCCATGAAACAACAATTTGTAACAATTACTAAATAACTTTATTGCAATTATAGTGCAGTGATTTGAGTTCTTTTTTAGAACCAAGAGATCTGAGGTTCAATGTTGGCTCTGACCAGATAAGCAACATTAGTAAGAATGTGTAAACTTCCTAGTAAAATTGCTCTTCTATGGTGCATTGTGATGACACCTCTATGCTGCATTGTGATGAATCCTTTTTGGAACACCTTAACAACTAAAAGAAAAGTCATCAAAAGTGATTATCGATTGTTGTGAGGACTTTCCAAGTTAAGTAGAAACTTTAAATTATTAGCTTATTCTTCTGTAGACATAAGATAACTTTTTTTTTTTGCATTTTTATCGGTAACTATGATTTTAAATAAAGTGAATCTTTGCTTCAAAGATTTACTATTTTTTGATTATTACTAAAATAAACATCCCATTCATCAATCGTTTTTTGACATTTAACATATCTTTCTGTTTTTCAATATATTTATTGACATCTGATTCGCAAGTAAATGGGCTGCCTTGTAATTTCAAATAAGCTAAGATATAACATCTCTTAGACGCCTAATGTAAAGCTTACAGCTCGCTTTTTGCTAACCCACTTCGTCTCAGTTGTTTCTGTCACTGGTTACATCTGTATTTTATATTTTTAAATTTTTTAACAATAAGACACATTTACTGAAATATTTCTAAATTACCTAAATATTGATTTCACAATGGTTTGGATATTTAAGTATATTACTACAAGGAATTTTTTTAATCGACTGTATTTTTAAAGCCAATTGCAAGAAGTGCAATGCTGACGCTTAAGTTCAATGTTATTTGAAATTGTTTTATAAATTGCAAAAAACCTAATTATAAACATAATACATCAGTTATTCCATTATTGTATCTTTATTCCAAACCCATAATACTTTTTTTATTTTCTGTTCAAAAAAGCTAAATTTTGCTAAACTATTTGCAAGAATGATACAATCATCCAAGTTTTTTGATGCATATATACAAACTGCTTCTATGACTACTGAGCGGTCAATCTTATTTAATGAAAATTTCCGAAATATAATTTATTGCTGACTTTATTAAAGACAAGTACAAAAACAACCCTGAGGCAATTATATTAAAAATATAAAAAATAAAATATAAAAGTATAATATTTGTATGATAAAATTTGTCTATTACTTGAGAGGTTTCTGAAGTTTTGAAAAAGTTTTTATATTTTTATTATAACTATTTTAATTTTGATTATTATTAATTATTATTAATTTTAATTTATTTGTTTATTAGTTTATGATTTATTAATTTATTAGTTAGTTACTTCTTGTTGCAATATTTTTCACTTTATTCTGCATCTAAATTCACTTAACAAAATTAATAGCTAAGTATTTTCTAGCAAAAATAAATTTTTACACTAGATGAGACTTATTACAAAAAATATAGAATTTTGGACCCCCCCCACTAAAACACTTTAGAACCTTTCTTTAGTGTTTAACAAATCACCATTAGAATTAAAGAATCATTATTGATTGTCAGAAAGTAAATTGTTAAATCTAAGAAAAAATATTAGAATTATGCTCATTAAAAACTAATCCAGCATATTAGCATATTAGTTAATATTAGCAAAAAAAAAAGATTGAGCTTAAAAGGTTAGATATCTGACCTTTTCAAAAGTCACCCTACATCTAGATGTAGGGTGAAACTGATTGATGATTTTTATTTCTTAACAACAAAATTAAAGATTTCCTAAAAATCTTAACAATCTAATTTTTAAAATAAAACATAATATTAAGTACTCTGAGAATAATGGACCTTTATATATAAGTTGAAACAATTTGGTAGTAACAACAATTTTTGCCATTTATGGTGCTATAATCATGTATGCAATAAAACCATAAGTATGTATGCAATAAAACCACTGATTTAGAACTAATTCCACGCAAACATGACAATATTTTGATATGATAGCCTACAGAGTTTGCATCACCAAAAAACAGATAAAAAAGAGGCCTCTACTGGAGTGACCCTTAAAAAATGAAGCTCAAAACTTTAAATTAAAAAAAATATATTTTGATCTACTAATCATATGTTTATATTTAATATTTATTATATTTAATATTTTAATATTTATTATATAAAATTTTAAGTAATTTTTTTTAGTGAGCAATAACAGTAAGTAAAGTACTTTATTTCTTTAAAACTTTATTTCAGATGACTTAAATATTTACGATTATTTTATTAAAAATTTTTTTTTTACCTTGGCAAATATTGCAACACAAATCAGAGCGATTTTGAGAAGGACATTTTTGACTGTCAGGGCAAACAATTTTTTCGCAACTGATATTACCATCCTGAAACAATAAAGTTATATATAAATTAATAAAAACATCAAACTTAAATAATAAAAAAATGTACAAGTATAAAAACTAACACTAATATATATATATATATATATATATATATATATATATATATATATATATATATATATATATATATATATATATATATATATATATATATATATTTATATATATATATATATATATATATATAAATATAGGATCAAATCATTATATTTCAACAAATTTGAAGAAAATTTTGTGGGTCACCATCTCTGATTTTTACATATTGTTATGAGCATTATGTAGATAGGTTAAATTTGAAATTTTATACTTCCAAGTACAATGGTTCAGAAATTATAAGTTGTTTCTTAATAAAAAAAGAAATATATAGTTAGTTGTCCTCTCCTTGATCTAGTCTTTATAGTAGCCCAATAAAGGGCCCAATAAAGGGGGCAGTAACTTTTTGAGACCTTCATAATGGCATGTTTGCATTTCCTGATAATTGGGTCTAATGGACTTATATACTGGTAATCTTAGATCAAAAAAAAGTGTTAGAGAAATTTTCAAGCATCTCAAATTGGCTGAAAATTGGACTTTTTAGGCGAGTGGACATTTTGCTTTTAGATATACCTGAGTTCTAAACAAGCTGCCTATATTTTGCCCATTTATTGTAAACAGTAGTAGCTAATCAGAAAACTTATCTGTAAAGACTTGTGGATGAATAGAATAACATTTTGCCATATTTTACTATCCAAACTATCCAAAATATAGATATAAGAAAAAAGTTATACAACTCTAAAGTAATCTGTTTTGACCATTTGTAAATCGAGCTGTGTGTCCTGTTTTTGTGCCTGTGTCATGCTTTTAAGGCTATAATTTCTGAACCGTTGTACTTGGAAGTCTGAAATTCCAAATTTAACTTATCTATATAATGCTCATAACAACATGTAAAAATCAGGAAAATCAGAGATGGTGACCCACAGGCCATTGGTTAAAATATAATGATTTGACCCTATTTACAATCCTCAGAATTAAGGTTGGCATTTAGCAATGCCAACCTAATTGCCAACCTCGTTTCCATGTTATATGGTACAACTCTTGTATCAAATATTTTTTGCCGACCTGATGCCGACCTCAAAAGATTGAGATCGGCATCAGGTTAATTTCGAGGGTTGTACGTATGTATGTATACATGTATATTTGTATGTATACATGTATATTTGTATGTATGAATGTATATATATATATATATATATATATATATATATATATATATATATATATATATATATATATATATATATACAGCCCTTTGAATTAGGGTCAAATGACCGAACTACTAACCTTAAAGTAACCTGCTAACCCATCACATTAATTTACTAAATACTAATAAAGTACAAACACTTTATTACAATAAGCTACAGGTGGATTAAAGTTTATTTTAAGTCTTTAATGACCATAATTTTAATTAAGGTCATCAACTTACAACTTGTTTTTTAAAAGGTCATCTACTTAAAGACTTTAAATAAACTCTAAAAATAAAATTCATTTAAAGCCTTTAAGTTGATGACCTTTTATTAAAGGAATTTTTCAACATTCTTAAGCAAACTTTTATATATTTAATTCATGTAATAGAAGACAAAAGGATAACCATTCCAAATATCAGTGTTCTTCTAAACACTGTAGGAAATTACTAGTTAATACTAATTTTAATTTCTTTGTTTCCAATGTTTCTTTTGAATGAAAACCATGCTTTGGCCCAACAAAGTCACATGCCTATGCAAGGGCAAGTCAACAGCTGTGTGTTTGTATGTGTGTGGGGCAGTGTTACACCCCCAAAAAAGGAGATTTTCAAGTTTTAGTAGGTTTTTTTATTAGTCAAATGCCCAACTAACTAGCAATACAGTTGGTTAGTTGGGCATTTGACTCATTTCGATTTTTAGATGCATTGATGTGCTAGCTGTTTATCTAAATCACAATAGTTATTAGTTAACTCATTAATGAACCACTAATTAATATCAGCCGATAATGACAAAAAATCTTTGTGTTCATTAAGTACCTTAAAAAAAAGTCAAGAACCTTAAGCCAACAAGAATAATGGAAAAGTACTAAAAACTTTTGATATTAAGGGAAGTTCGTGTACCTAGGGTTGGATTTTTTAATGCTCTAATTTGAGACCCTGCACTTGTCTAAAAATGGTGAAACTGATCACATCTCTATACTAATTACTTTGATGATCTCATCTCTATACTAATTACTTTGTATTAATAATAGGTATAATGACTTAAAAAATAAAAACCTGTCACGAAAATAGTATTAAAAATTGGAGGCCCTAGTTACAATGTTTTTTTTTTTATTGTACCTAGAGCCACTAGCTGTTGCACCTAGAGCCACTCTGAAAATTAGGTTCAACTCCTGTCTATTAAACAACAAAGATAGACACAAAAATTTATCTAGTATTACTACAATTTGATTGCATCACTTAAATATAAATAACAAAATTGTTATTTACATGCAATATGGTAATCCCAAAACAACTGCTAAAGAAAAATGTACCAATGGAAATTCAACAATCTACCTTGTGATTAATCAAATTCTTTATCAGAGAACACACATATATGGCCCTAGGTATAAGCAGAATATATAGTCCAAAGTAAAAGACTTGATAGCTAAGAAGGTACACTAAGGTAGAAGACTTGATACATTATAACATAAAAAAACTTATAGAAAAGCATTTCTTCTATGATTATAAAGCAATATAAGATAACAGCTGCAAAAATTTACTTAAGATCATTAAAAAGCATTTTCCGATTATAACTTGCCATGTTTGTTTGTTGCCATGTCAATGCTCTCTGAGAATCAAAATCAGAATAAAAAATAAAATTATTTAGGTACACAAACATTCTCTACAATTGATGATACAAAAATTGTTGTTAAATTGTGGAACTACTTCATTTTTGTGTGGTGTCACATATTACAACAGAAATTCTTTTTAACAAATTAGGTTCTAAAACTACCTTGCGTAACATGCTATAAATAGATTTATAATTGCCTTGCTTAAATACTTTTGAAGTTTTTTTGAAATGCTACAATAGTGTTGTTTGTTTACGCTTTTACTGTCAAAATGGAGTTACATTTCTTCTTACAATTTAGTATAAAATCAATATAATATCAAACTTACTGCATGTCTGCTAACCGATGCCAACTACATTGAGTACAGATATAACAATCTCACTCTTTGTTGATAACTCTTTGCTTTCAGCTATTTTAACTACCACTTTACCAGCAATCCTTGCATGTTTCAGTGGAATAATATAACCATTGTTCATATTATTTTCTTCAGAACATTTACTATTGGAATTTCTACATCATCAAATGATTAAATATAATTTATTTTGACTTTCTTTCTTTTAGACAATAAAAACTTGCGGATGGGTTGTAACAAGTTGTCACAATACTACATTCTGAAGTTTATGAAAGGTTTTTTTTAAGACTTTTAAATTTTACTCTATCAAGTAAAATTTAAAATTTGCGAATGGGTTGTAACTAGTTGTCACAATACTGCATTCTGAAGTTTATGAAAGGTTTTTTTCTTTTAAATTTAACTCTATTTTACATCATTTTAACCCAAATCCTCATTCAATGTGTCTGCAGGAGCTGCAGACACATTGAATGAGGGTTTGGGTTGGGAAAGCATAAGTTTTCCCATTGTTTTTTACTTTTTTCTAAAAAACTGTATGCAATTAGGTCAGCAAAAAAAGTTAGTAAATGTATATCTATATACAATGTAGTATAAATAAACTATTAATGAAAAATTTTTATGCTAAAGGTAATTTGTTTAAGTAATATGTAACAGTAATTTGTAAAATGTTTTAAATTATTGTAAAATGTTTTAAAATGTAAATTGTAAAATTTTTTAAAATGTTTTAAATTATTTGTTCAGTAATTTATTCTAGAAAATGTTTTAAATTATTTGTTCAGTAATTTATTCTAGAAAATGTTTTAAATTATTTGTTCAGTAATTTATTCTAGAAAATGTTTTAAATTATTTGTTCAGTAATTTATTCTAGAAAATGTTTTAAATTATTTGTTCCAGTAATATATTCTAGAAAATGTTTTAAATTATTTGTTCCAGTAACTTATTCTAGAAAATGTTTTAAATTATTTGTTCCAGTAATATATTACAGTAACTGTTTTAGTATAAATTCGTGTACCAGCCTCACATGCTCTCTTCATCTAAAAGTAATTTGCCATAAGAAGCACTTTGTTACAACTTTGGGCTGACTAGCAAGACTATGACAACTGCATATCTTATGGCTAAGGATCCCATATACCACCTAAATTAATTAAAATAACACCATTACTAACAAATTGTTTCAGTCTATTATAGACATAGCCTTTAAACTAACTTTTTACCTAATGAAACTAATATCTAGCTTTGGTGAAAAATATTCAAAATTAGCAAGATTGTCAATGTAAAAGGTTTCTTATATATCATTATATATAAAGTAAAGTTTCTTATATATCATAATATTTATCCGATTTTTCTCTACTTTTTTGGTGAGTGTTTAATTTTTCCATAGTAAAAAAGATTTTGTGATTAAATAAATTCCTATATATTATTATATATTAAATAAATTCCTATATATTATTATGTATTAAATAAATTCCTATATATTAAATATTAAATAAATTCCTTTATATTATTATATATTAAATAAATTCTTATCTATATTTATATATTAAATAAATAAATATATCATACATATTAAATAAATTTGGTTATAATTATTTAATTAATTTATGATTTCTGTGTCGATGGATGATATTCTTTGATCTGCTTAGAATCTGAGCATATATTTGCATAAATTTGCATATCATATAATCTGAGCATATATTTGCATAAATTTGCATATCATATAATCTGAGCATATATTTGCATATCAAAGCATCTATTTGTCATATAGGTGTAAACACTGACCTTTATTATATCATCTTTTGTTAACCATCTCTTCTTATAATCTTATAATATAAATGTTCTTTTTTAGAAACTCAGACAATGCTATGATATGACTTTTATGACTTACTTCTTTTGCATTAGATTCACTCTTATCACACACAACTACTTTAAGGCTGACTGGAATTCTTTTCACAACTTTCTTTATGATGGCTCTTGAGCCATTCTAAAAAAACATTATCAAGAACTCTTTTCTCCAGAACACTTTTCTCCAGAACACTTTTCTCCAGAACACTTTTATATCACCAGAACTCTTTTCTCCAGAACACTTTTATATCACCAGAACTCTTTTCTCCAGAACACTTTTATATCACCAGAACATTCTTTTATTTACTCTCTAAACTATTTAACAAGTGACAAATTTAAAAACAAACAAACTTAACTGATTGTTTTTATCTGCCTGCTAGAAAATCATTCAAATTTAAAAAAATTAATAAATTTCTGGAGATTGCACCAATCCTTTTTATATTACTTTTTATATTACTGCCCAATCAGCCATTTTACAATTATTGGCAAAGTCTTTTAGTCATTAATTCTGATTCACATAATTTCATATAATTCATATAATTTGATGATTTCATACATTTTGATGATTTCATCCTGATTCATATAATTTGCAATCTTTTAAGTCGTCTGTCAATCGTTATCTTGCTCTACAATCTTCATCTTTTCTCTTCCAGTAACTTCCAACACTAATTAGTGGTTGCTTGCAGCCTTGTTGGCCCTGTGTTTTATTTCTTATCTTTATTTCTTGCTGATAACCACACCTCATATGTTGATCTTGCTGATAACTGTATTATTTTTTTTTTTAAAGGACTCTTATTTACTTCTTTACAAATGACCTCCATGAAAACCTTTATATATGACTGATTGAGAAGTTAACATCTGGATAGGTTTTCTCTCTTTATTGTATTTGACTTTAGAATTGTTGATTTTGCATGACAAAACATAATTAAAGTTTGTTGTAAATACAGTTCCACCTTAAGCGTTTTTTTTTTTTATGAGGTAATTACAGATTGATCAAGAAATTGAGACAATTATGAAAAAAACCAAACCCAAAATTACAAATATTTCATCAGTAGAATCTATAGCTATGGTGAGACTACATAATGGTAGTTATAGGTACAACCATATCAAGCCAACCCAGCCATACTACACTACAGGTAATATATAAATACTTTTAACAAAATACTCTTCCGCAAAAAACAGAATTAAATATATTTATAATGATTTATATTGCATGTATTGCTAACATGCATTTGTTGTTTATTTTTACTACAATTAACTACTTTTACTACAATTATGTACTTCCGATGCCATTATACCCAGACTTGCAACTGCTATATTTTTTAAAATTATATTTTACATCAGCGGATATTTATGCCCATTGTTTGTAATTACTGTTATTTAACCTAAATTTTATAAAATATACAGCTTTATACTCGACTGACATTTGATTCTGAATATACAAAAAATATTTTTGGTCAAATTAATAAAAATAACAAAATTAAAACAATTTTGATGACCAGAATCGCTACTAACAAAAATTAAAAAAATAAAAAATAAAAAAGCTACAAAATAAGAATAAAAACTTCAAATTTGAAATGAACAAACTACATTTGAATAACTTATTAATTTTATCATGGAAACTGTACTAAGTATTAAATTTGAGTGCGGGCTTTAATATTATTGTCCATAGGATTAACACAGTGTTTTTAACTGTGTTGATTGACTGACCATTTTTATGTATTATAATCTCAAAAAATAAATTAACAGATTTAAAAAGTATTTCAGAAAATTGCCTGAGACTTAGGAGAATTTATATTTGTTTAGCCTAAAAAATAATAAAAAATTTCACCTAGCTATGATTTTGAACAATTAATTTGTAATATTCTAATGTTAATTATTTTTATTTAATTAATTTTTATTTAATTAATTTCTACTATTTTTTAAATCAACTTTTCACATTTAGAGTCTATTAAACTGTTCCAAAACATTGTATTTGAATTGTATATCACATGCAACTATTATATTACCTTACATATACAGCGAAGGCAGTCAGACATCACAGCTGGAATATATACTTCATTATTTTGGTATATTTCTGTACCAAATTTACAATCTAAATTTAAAATTACAAAAAATACAAAATAAAAATATTTTATTTTCAGTTTGTCAATAATTATTAATAGTAGTAATTAGTTTTAACTAATTAATCTAATAATAATTCACTATTAACTTTATTTATTTATCAGTAGAACATAATTAAAACTAGTTGATTAGTTATGAGCTGATAATAAAAATAGTTAAAATTAAAAGTTTTTGTTTCAGCTTGTCTTTTCTCAGCTTCACTAGTTAATATTGTAGTTATTTCTTAGCTTCTTCATTAGCTAATATTGCTGTTATTTCTTAGCTTCTTCATTAGCTAATATTTAATTAATCATCACACTTCCTAAACTTACCAACTGACTGTGATTTCTGAATGTGATAAAATTTTCATTGTAATAGCCACTCTAGTGATGTTCTTTGCCCCTCTGCTAAAAACTACAATGAAAGCAATAAGGCAAAAACTATTGCCATTGACATATCAAAGGCTTTTAATAGCTGCAAGCTGATCTTCTCCATAAACTCACTTCTTATAGCGTATTTAAAAAAATTTTAAAAACCACTGAATCATTCATTTTTGAGGGTGGTGATAAAATGTAGAAAGATAATTCAAAAATCTTTGACAGTCATTATCTGATTTTAAAGGCTTTCGAGAACTTCTCTTTCATTACAGTTTACAGTTTTATAAGAAGTTTTTTAAGTTTATGCTATTAAGTAATAACTTTTTTCAGTATAGTTTTCATGCACCCTTAGCATGTCCTATCAGTAGAGATATAACATTTTCGAGCTAAAGTTTGAAACAAAAAAAATTGCAAAAAAACAAACAAAATAAAAATAGAAATATAATTTGGTTCAATCCTCTGCAAAATGCAAAAAGGCTTCAACAAATATTGTAAAAGTGTTTTTAAAAATAATATATAAATATTTCCCACCCACTAATAAAATTGCACAAAATATTTAACATAAATACTATTAAAGTAAGTTATAGCTAAAAAATATAGAAAGAACTATAGAAGGTCACAATGTTGCATTGATCAATAAAAACAAAATTCTTAAATAAAAAAAACAACTAAAAATTGAAATTGCAAACAAAAAATTGATTGATGAATGAAATGAATGGTAAATACCTATCAAAAAATATTATTTACTAATGCATTATTTCTTCACAAAAAAATCCTGATAAACAAAATATATAGGCTTAACCAAAGACGAATGGAAAAAACATTATTCTAATCACAAACAATCTTTTAAACATAAAAAATACTCAAAAGAGAATATGCTGTCAATACATATTGGCAATTTAAAGGAAAAAAATAACATTAATTTTAAATTAAACTGGTCTATTCTCAAAACCTGCCTACAATAATATTTCCAAAAAATATAAGCTAAGTTTGCAAGAAAAATTTGAAATTATTAACCATTCGCATCAAGTAAATTTACTAAACAAAAAACCTGATTTAATTTCTAAATTCAGGCATGAAAATCATTACTTTTAAAAAAATTATAAAAAGAAATGACCAAGCTGAAATTATTCTTATTCTAAGGAATTCTTTTTTTCCTGGTTGCAACATAACTTCAGCTTTTATAAAATCAATTCTAATGAATTGATTTTATAAAAGCTGAAAAAATCCCAACTTCTGTGAAATAGTTTTTCTATAATTTGATATATATATAAACACTCTTCTTGATGAACTGCTGGAGGAGGACTGTATTTATGGTAGTTGTTTCTAGAACACACTAGCATAACTTATACTGCTGTAACTATATATATATATATATATATATATATATATATATATATATATATATATATATATATATATATATATATATATATATATATATATATATATATATATATATATATATATATATATATATATATATATACATAAATATATATATATATATATATATATATATATATATATATATATATATATATATATATATATATATATATGTATATATATACATATATATATATATACATATATATATATATATATATATACATATATATATATATATATATATATATATATATATATATATATATTTATATATATATATATATATATTTATATATATATATATATATATATATATATATATATATATATATATATATATTTTGCTCACTTTTTTTGCTCATCTAAATTTTAGGTTTATGGCTCATCTAAAATAGGTTTTTTAGAAAAAGAGGGAAAACGAAGAATAATGAATGAAAAGGTTGCTGACCCATCCCAAAATCCTTAGGCTATGTAGCAGCACTCCACTGCGAGTCAGGCTGCTTGTCAGTCGATGTATGTACTGAAGCCCCCGGCATCAGGCTATTTCAGTATGACATCACACCTCCCACCTAAACTAGCAGTATAAGATATATATATATATATATATATATATATATATATATATATATATATATATATATATATATATATATATATATATATATATGGGCAATTCCACGTAAAAGAGGGAAAAAAAAAAAAAAAATGTTACGCCAACATATTGTAACCTCAAAACTTATTTTTCAACTATTTAAGAATATCTTTAAGAAAAAAATTATCAAAAAAAATCCTTTTATCATACCTTAACATAGTTATAAAGTTGCAAGGGTTATATTTTTTAACATTTTTTAACATTTATATACAGCTCTGTTGTGAAATGTTGAAAAAGGTTTTAGTGCTGTTTTTTTAAATAACTATTACCTCTAAGTTTGAATTAAAGGATGAATTAAACATTATTCATAATATTTTTTTGCAAAAACGCACTCTTACTAGGTCTATAAGAAAAATATATTTATGAAAACAATACGTTACGACCGTCACAAAAAAAAGTCTAAAAGTTTTTTCTATGCTTTGTATCAAACTTTTTAAAACTACAACTATGGTTAAAGTAAAGATAATAATACAAATTTTATTATTGTGTCAATTTTTTTTTTAAAGTGCTTTAGATCACCTTTTCAATACGTTATTAGGCACGTTACAACTATCACGATATGTTTGTTTTTCCAAAACGGCTTCTTGACTTTATATAAAGTTTAAGCGCAAATGTTTATATTATTTAAACCAAGTAAAAAACGATTTTATTATTTAAACCATAGTCATAGTATACAGGAGAATAAAAGGGCATTAAGCATTTTTTGCTTAATCCAAACAAAAGTAATATGATTATACCCAGTCATCATTATCATACCCAGTCATCGTCATACCCGGATCACTATACCCATTGATGTTATAAAGTGATGTTTTTTTCATCCCAGTGATGTTATAAAGTGTATATTTTAACATAACTTACTTGGTTTTTATAATCACTTATCTTTTTTACGCCATTCATTGCAATGAATTCAATAAATGCATTCAGTTGTTTTTCACTATTGGCATTTTTGTTACGACCGTCACGGTTACGACTGTCACGACAAAAAATATAATAAAATTCTTGTAAAACATTAAGCAAAAACTATAAAACTTGGCCTATAGCAAGATTAATATGTACAAGATATTTTATCTACCTTATCTAAATTTCTAAATTTTTATCTACCTTATCTAAATTTCTAAATTTTTATCTACCTTATCTAAATTTTTATCTACCTTATCTAAATTGCACACAGCAAAGGATTTTTTTTTTTCACTTTTTCACTTTTTTTGTTTACTAAAAAATTAATTTAATTTTTTGATTACTGCATAAAGATTGTCAAAGCTGATTTGTTTAGAATTGTCAAAAAGTAAGCGTTACGACCCTCACGCTACATTAAGACAATTTTTCAAATAAGTTGAAGATTTGAATACTTTAAATTTTGTATACTAAATTTTATAATAGTATTTAACATTTCTGGAAAATTTCAAATCAATATCATTCTTATTTGACTTTTAATAACTAGAAAGTGTCAAATGTTACGACCGTCACTTGCGTGGCATTGCCCATATATATCCTTATACCAGAGTCGAAAGAGACTTTTATGGTAAAAAAGTCTCTTTAAACTACAATTCAAAACCTCAGCACTTAAGCTGTATTTGATTGTCTTCGAAATGTCAAAGCAATTAAATTAATGCAGAAGTATATTAAATTTTATAATGACTAGAAAGTTTTTTTTAATTAATGATGTTTTTGTTGTTGTTTTAATAAAATATATATTTAAAACTTGCGCAGAGCGTTGCTACATCAACTATCTTATAGCCTGCTGCTACAAGGGAGTGTTGCTACACCAACTATCTTACAGCCTGACTTGCAACAGAGTGTTGCTATATCGACTGACAAATAGCCTGACTAGCAAGGGAGTGCTGCTACATTGACTGACAAATAGCCTGACTCCCAAGAGAGTGCTGCTTACATCAACTGAGGGTTTGGGTTGGGCAGGCAGTCTATCATTTGAAAAAAAATATATATATAATATAAATTAAATAAAATATAGTTTACTTTGCTTTTCATCTTTTTTTTTTTCATCATCAGTATTTTGAAGTTCTGGTTTTATTGGCGTTCCTTTTGGGTCTAATGCTGCAAATAAGTGTTTGAAAATATTTTGATAGATGATTCCTTCTTTAAAGACTTGGTTTTTTTTGGCTTTTGGTGAGCCAGCTGTAAAAAAATAGATATTTTAAATAGTAATTAAAAATAAAATTAGAAAACATCAACAAAAAAAAAGAGTAAACATAAAAAATAATAAAATTTACGTTCGCATGTTCCACAACATTCTCCTGGTTTTCCAATCTGATTTAAACAACTAAGCTCAGGACAATTATGTTGCTCACATACTTCTTGTGGCTTATTTATACCCTAAACCATTGACATTAAATTAATATATATATATATATATATATATATATATATATATATATATATATATATATATATATATATATATATATATATATATATATATATATATACATATATATATATATACATATATATATACATATACATATATATATATATATACATATATATATATATATATACATATATATATACACATATATATATATACATATATATATACATATATATATACATATATATATATATATATATATACATATATATATATATATATATATATATATATATATATATATATATATATATATATATATATATATATATATATATATATATATATATATATATATATATATATATATATATATAATGAAAAAATGGGTGGAAAAAGTTATTTGTTAGTAAGCTATTTGTTGGTTACTGATAGTTAAATAGTTAATTTTTTCAAAAAAAGATTTACAGCTGAAGATTTTGATCAGACTTTGGTTTTGAGACCAATAGAGATTTTTAATAAATGATCTGCTCAAGCTTTTAAGCACAACTCCTAATACTCCAGCCTTTTAAATAGAAAAATAACTATCAGTTTATATAAATCAATCAAATTTGTACTGTAAGCTGTATATACTGTAGTTTTTTGGATCTTCTTATAAAACAAGAAATGATTTACTACTAAAATAGTGAAAAAATAATACTTATAAAAGTGAAATATATTACTTATAAAAAAGTAAAAATATAAGAAAATGTAATAATTACTATTGAGATGACAAAATAAATAATATTTTTTATAATACAAAATATTATGGTTTATCAAAAAAAATATTTACCAAGGGATGCACGGTTAACTAATAACATAGTTTCAACTATTTTAATATTTTGGTTTAATCCATAAATAATTATTTCAAAATTTTTCTTTTGCAAAGTCTTCATTAATTTATTTATGATTTAACATTTTTTTTGGAGAATAATTCCATGTGTCAGGAATGTATAAAAATTTACTAGGTAAAGTTTTTAGGGAAAAATTCACTGGTAAAGTTTATAGCAAAAAATTTACTAGATACTTTACCTAGTAAATTGTTATAAGTAAAATTTAAGTTTTAATAGCTTTGTTTTATTCAGATTGCTGCTCCGTGCCAAACCTTCAGTCAATGTAGGAGCACTTTTTCAGGCTACCTGATAGCCGATGTATGTTTTAAAACCCCTTTAACTTCCTGATTTTTTATGACCTCATCTGTGTGTATCTAATGCTGTCTAATAAAATTTATATCTGTATATATATATATATATATATATATATATATATATATATATATATATATATATATATATATATATATATATATATATATATACATACACATACACATACACATACACATACACATACATATACATATACATATATCTATGCATAAATACATACATAAAAATAATTGAAAAGATTGAATGGATATTGAAAAAAAGATTGAATAGATATCTTGATTACAATAATTTTGAATAATAATGAAATAAGTACTTCAATTCTGAAAGTAAATAATGTATAAAAATTTTTTATTAAAATAATAGTAAAATAAGAACTTCAATCATTTAAGAAAAAAGGATTTTCACCATCAATAAAATAAAATCATTTAAATAAGTGAAGCAAAAAAACTTAATAGATATAGTTTACGCCGTGTATAATATATTCATCAACAAAGCAAATTAATGAGTTCAGTGTTAAACTTTTAAACTTTTCGCTTTAACTTCTTTTAGCTTTTAAACTTTTTGCTTTAACGACACACAAGCAAAACACACAAAGTAGAGTATCGTAAACGAGTAAACTATTTAAATGATTTTAAGAAATTTTAGTATGTGCATTTTTCAAATAACATCCTGACTATTTGTCAAACCTTGTCTTTTAAAAGTCTGATTTTTTTAAACTGGTCAACCATGACCGACAAGAATTCATTTTGGGAGGTCAAAATCATAGCATTTCTATCATTTTGGGCCACCAGTGGTAAAAAAAAGTAACTAACAAAACATAACAAGAAACTACTGTAACGAATGTATCAGTTATAATAATAATTTTATTATCTCCATTTTAATCTAAATGTCTGCAAAAATGCTGATCACTTGCACAAGCTCCAGTGCTTGGGTAAAGGTGGCTTGCATCACCCACCAAGTCTAGTTAAATGGACTTAGCCATATACACATATATACATACATATATATATATATATATATATATATATATATATATATATATATATATATATATATATATATATATATATATATATATATATACATGTATGTATATATATATATATATATGAATCGCTTACTTGAAAAAGGGGACATGTCACATTTTTTTCAAAATAAAGATTTTTATTTTATTGTATTTCTGTGACAAATGTTTAGACAAAAAAAGGAAACATCTTGCTCATATTTAAACATATTAATCGACAAGGTGAAAATATCATTTACTGTAAAAAGGAGATATGTCCAGAACATGTCCTGTTTTTACAGTAAAAATCTGAGTTGTTATCTGTCAAATATGTCTGAGACATTTTCTGAGTATATAAAAAAATATATCAGACATTTTCCATTGAAATTTTCTTTTTTATTTTGTCAAAATGTCAGACTTTTTCTCAACTTATTTTGACATAATTTCATGCCTGGAGTGTTTAATGCAGAAATAAAATCTAAACTTAAACTAAAAAAATTTAGCTTAAATTTAAATGCAAAAAAATGAATTAAAAAGTTTCGAACTTCTTAATTCCCACCTTATTTTATGATCATAAATATGTAAAGTCTTAAAATTATGTGGCAATTAAGAATAAAATTGCCATACAAAAATATTAAATTGCGGTTGTTTAATAAATACTTCTTGCAACAGCATAACATTTAAATAGAGACATTTTGTCTAAAGTAACTTGTTTTATTATCATTATTTTTTTATTAAACTGAAAAAAGTAACAAAAGAAACATAAATTGAAACAGGTTACCAAGTAAACTAATGAAATATAACTTAAATGGAGTAACTAATTGAAGACGCAATAACTGAAATAGCTTGTTTTTTTATCATTATTTATTGTTTAAGCAAAAAAAATAATTCAATATTTTATAGTTTTAAATTTTAACTTTTGATGTTTAACTTTTATTTAAAAAGAACCTAGTTTTTTTTCTTTTTTTTTGAAAAGAATAATTTTATATTTTGTCATACTAAGAACAACAACTTATTTTTATTACCAACTATAGATAATAAAAATTAGGTTTTCAGATGGTTTTAACATTTTAATAAGGGATATCGCCACTACAGGAGCTTCAATACTAAAAAAGATAAATAGCTGAAAATATCAATTGTTGATTAGGGTTTTCAATTAAAAAAAACTATGAATCAAGGTGCCCGTAATGTAGTCTTTAGGTGCGATTGACCCCCATTTTTTTGCTAGTTTCTCTTTGTTTCATGCTAATTTTATTATAAAATTTAGCAAGATCTATATTTGCTATTTAAAACAGTCTTTTTTTTAAGGGGGTAGGGGGGGCAAATAAGCTATTTTCTGAAATTCTTCTGTCGGGACCCCCTCCTCAAAATAAATTCCATGGTACGAACCTGATCATAATTATTTGCAAAAAATAAACACAAAATATGTCATAATATAACAAATTAAGTCAGCAGAAAATAATTCAGACATAAAATTATGTCAAAGTGGATTAAAAATATTTTGGACATATTTTATGTTGGCAGAAAATATGTCTGGATATAATATATCCAGACATATTTTCTGCCAACATAAAATATATGTCTGGCAGATATGTTGACATATTATGCCAACATATCTGCAAGACATATTATGCTGTAACAACACTGATAAAAATAGTTTAAACTATTGATTTATAAAAATACCGCTAAAAGCATCACTATACTTTAATGTAAGAACAAGCAGTGTCAATGTCAAACTTTATAAATACTTTATCTGGTTTATCGTAACAATTTGTGTATTTTAATTGCTTATATTTTATTATGTCTAGCATAAACAGTCAAAGCAGTTCTCTAAGGAACAAAAGAAAGAAAGGCGTTGTTAATGGTCACATGTATAAAAGAAATGTTATTAAAAAAAGCAAAACTGTTAGGAAAAGAGCATAAAAATTATGTTAGAAAAATTGTTTTTGCCAAACAAGTAGCTGTAATCAGTAGGTAAGTGTTGTATTTTGTTTAATTTTTAAATAAAATTATTCTCGTTTATTTTCGTAAAGGTTTTCTTACTTTTTTATTGCAGTTGCAAATCAAATTGTTTGGATACATTTTTAACTGATGCAAAAGAAAAAAATTGCGGATATTTTCTACAATATTCTTTCAAAAAATGAACAGGACTTACATATACAACTGATGATAGAATTACAATCTATAAGTCGTCAACAATCTATAAGTCGTCAAATTTTGGAAAAAGCCAAAATCAAAGACAATAAAATACCATTTACACCTTGATGGATTGAAAAAAGTTGTTTGTAAAAAATGTTTTTTACTCACTTATGGTATTTCAAGAAAAAGAATCGAAAGGCTTGCTGAACTACTACTTATGAATAAGACTCCTCTTGATTGTCGTGGCAAGCATATATTAAGCAATAATTTATATTGAGATAAAGTATAAAAGCAGAGATTTTATACTTTATCTCAATATAAATCTCTGATTCTTTAATTATCAAAACGCCATAAAATTTAATTACAGAAAGTTGATATAAGCAATATCATTGATTATAAACAATGGTGGTCTAATGACAATAAAAGGCAGGCTTTTAGTAATAACTCGTATGGTAGGTCAACTACATCGAAAACACAATTTGCACTTTCTTCTTTCCATCAGTTTTACATGAACAATCAAACACCAGGTAAAGTTACATGCAGGGAATTCATTGATGACGTTGCTTCATTGAAAAAAAATTTGAATGGAGAAAAAAAAAACTAGTGATCTAGAGATGTAAAGATGGAAGACATCCATGATGGAAGACATCCATGACTTATTCGGAAAAACTTCCAATCCTTGCTTCTAAAATGGAAGATATTAGAAAAACAATTAAATGTATACCTGTAGAATTTTTGCCTTTTTGGAAACAAATTTTGAAACTTCCAACTAGATAGGGTATTAATATAGAAGAGGACTAAAGAATTTATTCAGCTCAATAGCCCTTTAAAATTCTATCAAATAACATTTTTTGTTTCAAAAATAAGAAATTTATTTCTGATTCTTAATATTTTGTATTTACTTTTGTTTGTTTTTTGATATTTCTTTTGTACAACTTTTTATTTATTATTTACCTTATAAACTGTCATAAATGAAAAAATCAACATGTTAACTGGAAAAAGAAAACATGTCCCAAATCTAAATTGTATTTTTTAGGGACCAATAATTAAAGTAATTTTATTTTTTATATTCAATATATAATACACTATATCATAACAACTAAAAAAAATCACAATATAATTTAAACATTATCTCCTTTGCCTAATATACATTTTTTTTGTTTCTGAGAGAAATACTTTTTGTGACATGTCCCCTTTTTCAAGTAAGTGAATTATATATATATATATATATATATATATATATATATATATATATATATATATATATATATATATATATATATATATACCCATATAGTGTAGTCGAAAGAGCGTTTTAAAGTAAAAAAAGTCTCTTGCGACTACAATTTTAATTACCTCGTCTCTTAAGCTGTTTTTGATTGTCATCGAAATGTCAAAGCAATTAATTTATGCGGAAGTACATTAAATTTAATTGTTTTTTAAAAAATTTTTAAAAAACCGCAATTATAACGACTAGAAAGTTTTTTTTAATTAGTGGTGTTTTTGTGATTGATTTAATAAAAAACATTTTTAAAACATGCGTAAATGTTGCTACATCGACTGACAAATAGCCTGACTTGCAACGGAGTGCTGCTACATCGACTGACAAATAGCCTGACTCGCAACGGAGTGCTGCTACATCGACTGACAAATAGCCTGACTCGCAACGGAGTGCTCCTACATCGACTGACAAATAGCCTGACTCGCAAAGGAATGCTGCTACATTGACTGACAAATAGCCTGACTCGCAAGGGAGTGCTGCTACAACGACTGACAAATAGCCTGACTCGCAAAAGAATGCTGCTACATCGACTGAGGGTTTGGTTTGGCCAGGCAGTCTATCAATTTAAAAAAAAATTTAATTTTAAAAACTTTTTCTGGTCTGGTTTATTAACGCGCTCTTTAAAACTACAGTTTATGGGAAACTTTTTTTGATGCCATGCAAGAGACGTGCAAGAGTATATATATATATATATATATATATATATATATATATATATATATATATATATATATATATATATATATATATATATATATATATGTATGTACCACATATATGTATGCATGTATGTATGTATGTATGTATGTATGTATGTATGTATGTATGTATGTATGTATGTATGTATGTATGTATGTATGTATGTATGTATGTAAGTAAGTATGTATGTATGTATGTATGTATGTATGTATGTATGTATGTATGTATGTATGTATATATATATATATGTATGTATGTATGAATGTATGTATGTATGTATGTATGTATGTATGTATGTATGTATGTATGTATGTATGTATGTATGTATGTATGTATGAATGTAAGTACCACTTGACCACGACTGTTTATATGTTTTGATGATTTAAATGTTTCAAAAATCAGACATTGTCCGGCTAAAACCTCAGATTGTCCGATCAATTTACAAAGTAATCGAACATTTTGACTGACAGGAATTAAATTCTTGGACAGAAATGGTGTGGGATGGAACGCTATTGCTGACCATGCAAATGATTTTTTTTGTTTTGATCACTTGACCACGACTGTTTATAAATTTTGATGATTTAAATGTTTCAGAAATTCACTGAAAAAAGAAACATTAAGCTAAACCTAAACTAGGAAAAAAAGAAAAAAGTAAAGCAAAACAATAAAGAAAACAAGTCTGCTTTAAAATAAAACTATAAAAACTCAAAGTTAAAACTACTTTTTTGCTACATTTTTAATTGCATTTTTAAAAAATTACTTTAAAAGTTATCTTTTAAATGTTTAATTAAAGTTACACAAAATGTTTTTACAAATTACTTTTATTGATTGATGATTTTTGATATATAAATGAACAAATTTTATTTAAATTATTGAAAAGTGAAATCAAATTATTGAAAAGAAAAAATATATAATATTTTTAAGTTATAAAAACATTTTTTTCAAAAAATTTGTTAAAAAAAAGTTAACTTTAAAGTAATTTTTTTTAAAATTGTAACTTTTAATCATTTCATGCTTAAATTAGTAAGTCAAGTTTAAAAAAAAAAACAATTCTTTGAGAAAATAGAAAAAAGAAAAAAAAGCAGTTAAATCATGAGAAGGTTTTAAATAAAGTAAAAAAATAATTTTTTTAAAAATTCATCTTTTAAAAGATTTTAAGAAAGACATGGAAAAATAGTTTCAATCGTTCAAAATTTATCATAAAAAATACATACCTACTAAAAAAAAATAAGTATATCATATAATTTACACATATTGCATTTATTTTAAGCAATCATTATAATTAATTTTATTTAAAGCCTTTGTGTAAAATAAAAACTTGATTTAAAAAAAAAAAAAGATCAATAGTTTAAAGTTATTCGTAATGTAATGATTTTTTCATTGCATTTAAATTAGTAAAATATCAAAATGGCCGTTGTCAAATTGTAAAGAAAAAAAAAAAAAGCGTCGCCAGTTACAGCATGAAATTTTAACTCTTTTTAAAAAATATACAATATTAAATTGAAACTATTTTATTAAACAAAAATCTGCAATGAAATACTCTAAATAATAAAGAAAGAAACTACAACTTCACTAGATTAACGTTGAATAAACTGAATAAAATGACAAAGATTTCGATAGCATAACTCTGTTCCATAAAACCAAAAAAATCATATTTTAAAAATATGATTGGACACTGTCCATCCCAAACAAGTTTTGACCGGACATTTTGTCTGGGACTTTTCAACAAATCCAATTGAGCCCTGTATATATATATATATATATATATATATATATATATATATATATATATATATATATATATATATATATATATATATATGTATATATATATATATATATATATATATATATATATATATATATATATATATATATATATATTATAAGTCAAATTAGACAAAGACCTTTAAGCATGAACATTCTGCACATCTACCATGTTTGTATTTATCTGGAATGTAAACTTTCCATGAAGTTTTAACATCAAATAAAGAGGACGAATGAATGCACCCTAAGAAAGAAAAAAATTGTAAATATCCATTTATTTTTTACTCTTTACTAAGAAAATTATTATTAATAACAAGTACTGGAAAAACTTATACAATATTTTAAATTTTGAATAAGTTTAGCATAAATTTATTTATACAATTTAAGAATAATAATTTCAAATTTTAGTTATTAATTTTACCCTTTTCAACTGTCGCAACTTCAGTATCTAAAAGAAAAAAAACTGCATATATCATCATTGAATGTCACCATATAAAAATTATTTGTCACTTGCCAGTGTTATTTTGTTACAGGAAGACATGCAATTGCACACAATTATATGACCACACAAAAAATACTTTATTTTAACAATTTGACAATAGCTTTTAGCATGTTTTCAAAATTTAAAAATGCACTTAAAATACTTAAAATTATCTTAAAAGAACATTACTTTTAAAAACAAAACAAAATCTTGACGAAAGAGAAAATAAAAGAAACACTTAACTAAAGCAAAAACACAAATATATATATATATATATATAAATGTGGTAATGGTGTAGTGGTATAGGGCTCACTTCATAAGCGAGAGGTTACGAGTTTGATTCCCACCACATCCCTGGTAGTACTACGCCTAACTTGTTTCTCTGAGAAGCGACCTTGTTCGCCAAGGTTCGTGTTTCGGGGTTATAGAGTTAAGAGAGGGTTTACAACCACAACAAAGTAGTCTCTTTGTCTGTAGTGGCTTCCTTGGCCTTGAGGAGGTGAATTAATAATATATATATATATATATATATATAATATATATATATATATATATATATATATATATATATATATATATATATATATATATATATATATATATATATATATATATATATATATATATGCCACAAAGCTAGAAATAAATAAATATAATCAAGTTATTAATTAATTTATACTTTATTTATTTTTAGATAAGCAGGTAAAATAAACAAGAAGTGGAACAAAATTAAGACTTAAACTATAGATATCACTTACTAAATATATAGACAAAAAAAAAGATACTTAAAAATAAACAATAGAAATTAAACAAATTTATAACATAACAAAAACAATAAGAGCACAAAAAATAACTAGCAAACCTGGGCAAACAAGACAACAGCTGTGTTTAACTGATATGGGATTGTTACAAGTCAAAGAAGGACATGTTCTTATTGTACACATCACAATGTTTATCTAAGAAATATTTAGAAAATAAATACATTAGTCCAAGAATAAAAATTATTTTTTGAGTAATCCAGATAATGCTGCTTTTCTTTTTTTATTTAAATTAAGTTAGCAAATTTAATTTTTTTTGTTATAAATTTAAAATGTTATGTGGTTGTGGTATAGTGTTTGTGGTGTAATGGTAGAGCACTCGAATCATAAGTGAGAGGTTGAAAGTTCAATCCCCAACACGCCCCTGGTAGTACCGCGCTTCGGGTTTGTGTTTTGAAGTTAAAGATTTGAGAGGTTATAATTACAATTAAGCAGCCTACTCGTCTGGCCTCATCTGGCCTCTGCTTTGGGGAGGTGAATTAATACTTAAAAAAAATTAAATTTATTTACTTATTTTTAATTAGTAAAATAATGGTTTTTAGATAACCAAAAGATGTGGATATATAAATGGGTGTCCATAAAATCAACTTAAAAAAAATAAATAGTAATAAAAAATCTGAATATCTTACACAATTAGCAAGAGCAATAAAATCTGTAACACATAAATTTGAATGTAAAAAGCTTTAACTGACTATGCAGCTAATATGAAATCAATGCAACAAGTATTGTTATCTGAAGTAGATATAATAATAGAAGTTAATTCTGTAAGCCAGGCAATTCCATGTGAAACATCTAAATTTTTCATATAATGCAACCCTAAGTCTCAGATTTTGCTGATTTTTACACCACTCGAAGATTTAAAAGTTATAAACATCCTCAAAACTTTATCATCTAATTTAAACCAGTTTCAAAGATATAATTAATAACTTTGCCATGGACAAATAAACATTAAAAAAATGGTTTTGGTTTTTGTTTCTGTGATCGAGGGAAAGATGAAAATATGTACACTTACATATTTTGAGGCAAGGAATTTAATAAAATAACTAAAAATATTTAAAAATGAATTTAAAAATCTAAAATTTAAACTCACTTTAGATTTGATACTCATGATTTAAACTCACTTTATAAATTTTTATTTATAAAGTGATTTATAAATGAAAATTCATACCCACCTGCTAACTAAGCCCTACCCCTCTGTCCATTTATAAAATCTGGATAAAAATTCCCACCCATCCTTTTATTCTTCTCCATCATGTATCAAGCCCTTGAAAGTAACTTTACAGTAATATTTAGCACAAGGGTTTTCTCCATAGGTTTGCTTCATATGGTATATCTGGGAAAGTTATTGAGATTATCAAATCATTTCTTTCTAACTGCTTTATTTGAGTCACCCACAAAGGCCCACTCTTCTTCATTTCCAGTAATTTCTAATAAACCTCAAGGTTCTATCCTTGCACAGTGGGCCAGTGACTGAACAAAAAATAAAAATAAAACCAAAAACAGAATTTTAATGTCATATTGGTTTGAAACCATTATATAGATATTATAAAACAAATTAAAACCATTCAACTTAAAATTTTAATGAATATACTAATGATGTGGTTGAAATAGACGCAAATGTTAATTTGAAAAAAAAATTATAAAGAGAAAAATGTTGTTTAAAAGATTAATAGAAATAAATAACATATACATAAAGTATTGCGCTTTTTAAAATATTTTAACTCTATATATTATATGGATTTTAAAATTTTAAATTTGTTAGACTTAAATTGGTAAGTAATTAGCATATTTTTAACAATATCAAATACGTCTAATATGGGCAATTCCATCTTTGACTTAAGCTACACACGCAACAACTTTACCAAATTTAAAATGTTTAAACTGTAAATTAAACTTTTACTTGCATGTATGAAAACTGTCAGTATAAATAATTAACAAAGAAAATTTTAATAAATTGGTGGCACTCTTCCTGAGTGATTTTTAATAACATTTCTGTGTGATTTTTCATAACATTTATGAAAGTTATCTAATGGAAAACAATTTTTACGCAAGACCAAGAGCAAGTTTGAAAAATTATTTCAGTATTGCAACTTTAGCAACAAGTTTGCCCTCTTTTAGCCAGATTCAAAACTTTTTAGCTAACTTTATTCTTTAGACTGACAGCTTTCATACAAAACAGGTAAAAGTTTAATTTACAGTTGAAATACATTAAATTAAATGCATTAAAAGTTGTTTTTTCTATATTTAAGTATGTATATATATATATATATATATATATATATAAATTGGTGGCACTCTTCCTGAGTGATTTTTAATAACATTTCTGTGTGATTTTTCATAGCATTTATGAAAGTTATCTAATGGAAAACAATTTTTACGCAAGACCAAGAGCAAGTTTGAAAAATTATTTCAGTATTGCAACTTTAGTAACAAGTTTGCCCTCTTTTAGCCAGATTCAAAACTTTTTAGCTAACTTTATTCTTTAGACTGACAGCTTTCATACAAAACAGGTAAAAGTTTAATTTACAGTTGAAATACATTAAATTAAATGCATTAAAAGTTGTTTTTTCTATATTTAAGTATGTATATATATATATATATATATATATATATATATATATATATATATATATATATATATATATATATATATATATATATATATATATATATATATATATATATATATATATATATATATATATATATATATATATATATATATATATATATATATATATATATACATAAAAGAAAACAGTATACTTGTATACAACATTATTGAAGAACAAGATTTTTTTTTTGGCGAGTTGAGGCAAAAATTAAATCTTGTTCTTCAATAATTATATATACTTTTATTTTTTACTATAATTTTAATACAAACTAGCAAAAAAATTTGATGATCAAATTTTTTTGCTAGTTTGTATTAAAATTATAGTAAAAAATAAAAGTATAGTAATTTTTGCGTCACACTTTTTACGTTTTTGCTGATAGCACTGCTTATTCCACAGAATTCCCACTGTTTAAAATTCCAAAATAAAAAAATAAAACTTATACTAAACCTTGTTTAAAAAAGTCATGTTATAAATACAAAAAAATAAACAAAAGAACCTTTTAAATAATTTTTTTTAAGTGTTTCATTATAAATGCACTTTAGGAAGCCCTTGAAAAGTTTTTTTTTTTTTTGTACTCAAGCCAGACAATTGTCTGTTTTATCATAAAATTTATGATAAGTTGATCTGCATATCCTAACTAATCATAACAATTAACAAAAAAGAAATTTAGTTGATCATACAAAATAAGAAATTAATTAAGTTGATCAAGTTAACATTTGATTCGTCATTCGATTATGCAAAATTAATTTTTCAAAACGTTAACAAAAATTTATTTTCTAATCACCTTGAGATATTTTTAGTGCATTATTGATTGTCATTGAATTTAAGATTTTTGTTATGAATATCTCATCCATTTATGATTTATGATTTATATTTGTATTACAAAATATTTTTGTTATATTTATAATATAAATATTTTTATTATATTTGCAATATAAAATATATTTTTTACATTCATTTAGTTAAAACTATAGTTTAAACTAAACAACAGTTTGCAACATTATAAACAGTTGTTTAGTAAAAACATTTAAAATTGACAAAAATACACAAATTCATTCGTTAAAAGTTTTTCAAACTCAAAGTTTATTTAAAATTGAAAAAATATGCAAATTAGATCAAAGTATCATTTATTCAAAGTTTAATTGCAAAAAAATTTTTTTCTATGGCGTTCTACGCAATAAAAAAGGCTTTTCTAATATTAATGATGGAACTTTTACCAAAAAGAAATGATATTCTTGTATCTTTTTTTTAAAAAAACGATACAAGAAATATTGGGAACTTTTAGGAAAATTGATTAAAACTTTAAATTTAATACTTATTTAAAAACCAAAATACTGTTTGTTATTGTAACTTTCTTTCGTAAACTTCTACTTTATTCTCAGCAAGTGTTTCAGACCCTGATTTCCTTTTCAAAGAAATAATTTTCTGTTGTTTTTTCTCGCATCTATTTTATGATTATTTTAATACTTTTTATATAATTTTACTTCTAAAACTTATTTTCTAATAATTTTAAATAAAAAACAATTTTATTTTGCTTAAAGCATTATGATATTTTATGAAGTCAACATTCTTTCTACCAATCATAAACTTGCATTATTTACTATTTTTCAAAATTTTTCACATAAAAATTGTTTCTAAATAATAATGCAAATTAGGTTCATTCATAAAAAAAATTCATTTAATTCAAAATAGTTCATTAAGGAGTAATAAACTTTTTGTTTATACAAATTTTGTAAAACCTTAACCTCTTTAACAGTTGTTTTAACGTTTTGGTGTTGATGTTTTACTTTTTTCTTTTTAAGATTTTTGTGACGTTTTTTTAAAATGTTTTTGAATTTTTAATATAAAATTTGACATGCAATTTTTGCCAATCAAATTTGATTGTCCAGAATTGATTTTGGGAGATCAAAATATCATTTTTTCCAAAATTAGACAATCATTGATCAATGATTAGCTGCTATTTCGAGCGCTGTTGACTTATATAACCATTTGCAACTTTGTCAGTTTCAAATTCTTGTAAGTTATTGATTGCTAGTGGCACACACCTGTGGAAAGACGATAGAAGAAAAGATGCTTAGATAGCAAGAAAGTTGGCTGATAACAAAGATGCTGAACTAGGTCATTTTAATAATACATCTGAAGAGGCGTTGGCTCTTTTGTTTGATAATGAGATGAGCAAATATCAGCGCTTAAAAAACAATGCAAAAAGCAAAAAAAAGCAATTTATATCCACCATACAATGATATACTTGAGGCAAAAGTGTTTGCCTAGCCGTGAATCATCGACAGCAACAGATTACTCTGAAGGCTTCAATTTCCAAGCATTGGTAGATCATACTGTGTTGCGGCTGTTGGAAGTACAACATGATGTTATCAATTTGCTTGTCTTTGATAGGTTGAATCTGCACTCAAAAGTAGATTTTGATGGGTCAACTATGCAAAACATTTTCACACAAATTACTGATGAGTCGGAAAACTGAAACTTTGTCCAAGAAGTTTGTTTCTTACCTGCTTTGTAACATAT